TAAGGAAAAAATACACACATCGCATGCACTTTCAGTCGAAAACTAGTAATATACCATAATGCAAATAATAAAATATATATACAAAACTTAAGGGTGTCCAATTTCAAGTCTGTTTTCATCAAGTCTGTCGTTATCCAGAATTTGAAGTTATAGCAATATCTGCGTCATGTTCGTACTTTCAACCACGGGGGTTTCCAAACGGTATCCTCCGTGAGGAGAGACATGATATTACCACTTGGATTGTAGCACTCGGCTGGAAGGTTACCTCGATCTTCAAAGTGATCTGGCTGAACAATTGTCCCAGAAACTGCGGCTACAAGTTTAATGACGAACAACAACGCAAAAAAAAAACATCGACAATTCATCAGGCCGTTCCTCCACCAGTTGTTAAAAATGTATATATTTTTTTCTTTTTCTTTCGTCGTTTTGTCTGGTTTCGTTTGAGCTTTCTACAACTTTTCATACATAATTTTTACTTCGTTGAGTCCACTGTCCACTGAGAAATCATCCACTGAAAGATCATCCACTTTACTTCACTTTACTGATCAGTCCACTGGGAGATCATCCACTGAGAATCCACTGACGAATTTGGGTTGTGCACGCCCTTTTATACTAACGGTGGAGGGATCTTTACACACGTGATGTAGCAAGTGGTGTGATTTGTATCCAGCCAATCAACGTTAAGGTTTGAAAGTGTGGGTTGGCGTTGTTAGCTCGTTCCAGCTCTCGCATTCTGTTTATTTAAGGCGTTGTCGCACTGGTCGAGTTGGTTCGCTGTTCAATCGATCAATATTAAAATATGTTCACAACTTAAAATACTCATCAAAATATCATAGTAAAAACTTCAAACTATACCTATGTGAACCTTACTTTACCTACTAAACTAAATTTACTTACAATTTTATATTATCGAACCAAAATTTTGATGACGTAATGTTATCATTATTCAACCGCGCGAAATATACCTAAGAATGATTGACAGAAAGGCCCTAAGCATGCACATTTTCATGTCAAAGAAGAACCAGCCTTGGACGTTGAATTATGTAAACACAACAGCTCACCATGCAAGGCTATCGTCCAACTTTGACAAATTATTTATCTTGCCTAATGGACAGATAATTGACACTTTTACACAAGTCCGAAATGAGATATACTTTATCTGAGTTTTACAGCAAAAATGCTCATTATCTCTCCATTTGACGTAACTAGTATTTTATAATTACCTGGGGTGCAAATTGAACTATTTTTATACTATTTAGATATACTTTCGAAACACAGATTATTCATTTGATCGCAGAGATATCAATACTGCAGTAGCATTGCTTCCGCCAAATCGACAGGAAGCCCGCATCATCTAATTATAAATGTAAATACTTTTTTCGATATCTCAGTACAGTATATGAATAAAATATAATGTCTGCAATATTAATCTTGACTCTTTTCTATGGCGTCATATCACCGCCAATATTTATGTATATCATGCTTTCGACATTGAAGTTAAATAGGACATTCAGCACCTACGTGCTTTCGACATTGAAGATAAATCTGACATTGAACATGCAGAACATTCAACATATTTTCGACATTGAAGTTAAATAGGACATTCAACACCTACGTGCTTTCGACATTGAAGATAAATCCGGCATTGAACATGCAAAACATTCAACATATTTTCGACATTGAAGTTAAATATGACATTGAACACCCATGTGTTTTTGACATTGAAGTTAAACCGGACATTGAACATGCCGCGAATTTAGCACCTATCACAACTTCAACGTTCAAAATATGTTGAAAAAAATTACCACATGTTGAATATTGGCGGAGTTGAACGATAGCGTCAAATCTCCGCCAATATTAATTAAGCTAACACAAGATAACCCCCCGGCCAAATTCATTCGTGTCCAGACCTCTAGAACATATCACATGACGCAAGCCGAGGATCGAATTCGCCGCATCTTAGTCTATAAACTGTGCTGTATTGGACGTATTGGAGGCCGTATATTCACCATAATATTCGCGTATATTCGCTTGTTTGTCTTAAATTAATTGACTTTTATAGCGCAGATTGAATTGCTAGAGACGCAAAAATTATATTTTAAAAATTCCTAATAATCGCATTATAAATAATCGACACATTTTATTTAGAGTGTAATTGCAAAAACAATGCGTGCGTCAAACTGAATTTTTGCTGCGGCAGAAAGGCAGATGGTTTTCTTTATATATTAAATCGTGAGGCCATGTGGTGTAATTTGATAGTACTTGTCAATTTAGCATAATTTTGCCCACTTTTCTAAGTTCCGGATCCGTGAGCCTTTAATAATTTTATTTGTCATTTACTTATACAACATTAAAAAAAATCCTACCTGTTTACAAAACTTTTGTGTTACACACTTATAATAGGTGTCTTCTTACTAATTCAATAACTGTTACACAATAAAGATTTTTGCTGTCAATTGCACTAGAATTAGCGTTTTAATAACAGCACATAATAGTTTCGTGAGAAAATTTATTTATCTTATACCATAAACTTCTGATTATGATTACGGAAGTTTATGGTATAAGATAAATAATTTTTTTCACGAAACTATTCTCCTAGTTTAAAAATTAAAAGGATGTACTATTACTAAAATGCTAATTCTAGCTAGTGCAATTGACAGCAAAAATCTCTATTGTGTAACAGTTATTGAATTAATAAGAAGACACCTATTAATTAAGTATGTAACACAAAAATTTGTAAACAGTAGGATTTTTTGTAAACAGTTGTATAAGTAAATGACAAATAAAGTTATAAAAGGCTCACGGATCCGGAAAGAAAAGTGCTCAAAATTATGCTAAATTGACAGGTACTATCACATTACACCACAACGATTTAATATAAATTATAAAGAAAACCATCTGCCTTTCTGTCGCAGCAAAAGTTCACGTTGACGCACGCATTGTTTTTGCCAGTGCACTCTAAATATTAAAATGTATCGATTATTTATAATGCGATTATTAGGAATTTTTAAAATATAATCTTATAAATAAAATAATATCAATTTTTATACATTTAATAACAGCTGTGGACTGTTGTCTCAATCGCTCAGCAACTTCAAACAGAGCATCTGCCTGCATTTCTTGCGGAAATTATTGCCTCTGGGTTCATTCTACCAGATTTTGCGTTTTTTGCGTCTCCAGCAATTCAATCTGCGCTATAAAAGTCAATTAATTTAAGACAATCAAGCGAATATACGCGAATATTATGGTGAATATACGGCCTTCAATACAGCGACAAGATGCGGCGAATTCGATCCTCGTCTTGCGTCACGTGATATGTTCTAGAGGTCTGGACACGAATGAATTTGGCCGGGGGGTATCTTGTGTTAGCTTAATTAATATTGGCGGAGATTTGACGCTATCGTTCAACTCCGCCAATATTCAACATGTGGTAATTTTTTTCAACATATTTTGAACGTTGAAGTTGTGATGGGTGCTAAATTTGCGGCATGTTCGATGTCCGGTTTAACTTCAATGTCAAAAACACATGGGTGTTCAATGTCATATTTAACTTCAATGTCGAAAATATGTTGAATGTTTTGCATGTTCAATGCCGGATTTATCTTCAATGTCGAAAGCACGTAGGTGTTGAATGTCCTATTTAACTTCAATGTCGAAAATATGTTGAATGTTTTGCATGTTCAATGCCGGATTTATCTTCAATGTCGAAAGCACGTAGGTGTTGAATGTCCTATTTAACTTCAATGTCGAAAATATGTTGAATGTTCTGCATGTTCAATGTCAGATTTATCTTCAATGTCGAAAGCACGTAGGTGCTGAATGTCCTATTTAACTTCAATGTCGAAAGCATGATATACATGAATATTGGCGGTGATATGACGCCATACGTTTCACGGGCCGCGCTAAAAATATAAATATTCTTAAATACCGAAATAAAAGATGAAAATCTGAAGACACAAGCTTAAAAATAACACTGTGAATAGTGTTCTGGATTCTGGTTCGAATGAGACTATTACGAAAAAGATATGTCCAAAGGGGCCGCGAAATGTATGGCTAGTTTACATTGTTCGTTTATATATGAAATATGATACCATACCCTGCCTCGTACCCAGGCGTCTCTTTGTAAAAAAGCAGTGATGCCCATATGACGTGTTTACATGAAGTATTGTAGTGGGGAGAGATGGCGAAGGGGCTGTAAGCGCCTGGGTACGAGGCAGATACCATACCTTACTTGTTAAAATTCGCGTCGTACTATTATTGGGTTGTCTGGAAAACGCGTGCACGTACACGCGTACACGTACACGCGTGCACATACACGCGTACATGGAAAACGCGTACATGGAAAACGCGTACAATCTTCATTTGTAACGTTAATTAAAACTTGGCGATTTTATTTGAAGTCCTCCTGCAGACCTAGTGATTGTGTCAATGATGGTCAGATCATGGCCTCCGTGAAAGACGACTTCACAGTGGACTACGTAATGTCTAGTACTTTCATCAGTATGTTCCAACATGCGTCCAGAAAAAGCAGCCATATTTCCAACCACCTCACGCTATTATGCCATGCACGTGAGATAATGCCACTTCTCCGCGATGAACATTGGAGATATATTAATCACACATTCGGAAACCTCGCAATCCAATGAAGAAACATTTACTATGCACTGACGCTTATAGAAAATTATCTATTATTTTAAATTGTTAAGCCGTTTTTTTAGCATATAGTTCATTTATCATTTATAGACCCGAAGCGAGGGGGATTCGGCGGAATAGTACTCGAAGTGATGATATATATTTCATATTTGAAATATACATATATAAGTACAGATTCTGTACTAAAACCACTAATTCTGTTTTGTGATTGGCGCAGTTTAATCAAAGAGTCTCCCCGTTGAACCACTAGAGCCTTCGCGATGTTTCAATTATTTACTGTCGAAGGCTCTGGAATCCAGGCTAGACATAACCCCAAACCCTTATTGATTAGCTGTAAGTATAAACTAGGCGAACTTTACATGCCGTAGCACGACATGGCGGTGATACAACATGATTAGATCAAACTAACACAACAGAGCCAGAGAGCCTAACTGTCTATATATAAAATATATTATACCTCAAACTCAAATTTTCCTATAAAAGAACAGCATTTGTACCACGTGACAATGTGTTTTTTTACGGTATTTCACTCAAATTCACGATTTCGCAATGCAGCGTGAGATCCACTGTGGTGGATATTATAGTATCTCACGCTCACACGCGACGAAAGGATACCATGCACGCTCTTAAAGAACATGGCGTTCGCGAGCTGTTGTTTGTAGTTTCGTGCAGGCGCGTACAGATTTCTTGATTTACTGCAACCAAAAATTTTTAAGACGTACGTTACCTTCAATAATCCAAAGCCGGATTACATGCTCAAATATTTTAAAGAGAAAACGTCAAAACACAGGTATATGCATAAGAAATTAAAAATTGTATTAGCTTTATATATAGTTAATATTCAGCAAGTTTTAAAGTTTATTCTGAACTTAGTGGTGTCTTTTACCTTCGGTATAACATATCGTTTATAGACCCTCCGCTCGGGGGATTCGTCGAAACATTATACCCTCAGTGATGATATTTCAAATATTAAATAAATATCATCACTTCGGGTAATATTCCGCCGAATCCCCCTCGCTTCGGGTCTATAAATGATAAATAAACTATATGCTAAAGAAAACCTTAACATTTTAAAATAATAGATAATTTTCTATAAGCGTCAGTGCATATAGTTTTAAATGTTTCTTCATTGGATTGCGAGGTTTCCGAATGTGCGATTAATATATCTCCAATGTTCATCGCGGAGAAGTGGCATTATCTCACGTGCATGGGATAATAGCGTGAGGTGGTTGGAAATACGGATGCTTTTTCTGGACGCATGTTGGAACACAATGAAAGTACTAAACATTACGTTGTTCACTGTGAAGTTGTCCTTCACGGAGGCCATGATCTGACCATCATTGACACAATCACTAGGTCTGCAGGAGGACTTCCAATAAAACCGCCAAGTTTTAATTACCGTTACAAATGAACATTGTACGCGTTTTCCATGTACGCGTTTTCCATGTACGCGTTTTCCATGTACGTGTTTTCCATGTACGCGTTTTCCATGTACGCGTTTTCCATGTACGCGCTTTCCATGTACGCGTTTTCCAGACAACCCTATTATTGTATTAAATTAATATTAGGCAAATGAGAACTATGCAATAACTGTTTTAGTTCTTGTTATTTTAAACGCACGCTTTATCTTTAACGTTTTTCGCGCGGATTATATTTCGCGCAGTGCTAAAATTTGGTCACCCAGCGCTGCGCGAATTCTAGAACTGCGCGAATTTTAATACTGTAAGACATATTGTGCCATTGTGGACATTTGACTAATGTCAAAATAAAATTATAATGACAATACATTACTCGACTTTGAACAAACAATAGTTTATAAATTCTTAAACTCTTTCATATACATAGTAGCCAGCGATTTGTAGTAGGTAAGGCTGTTACCCTCGATATTCGCAACTTTATTAAACCGGTTCATCACATCGATAAATAAACACTAAGTATATGAACTAAACATACAGATATTACTACTTTATGTACTGAAAATTTCGGATGAAACACTTAAAAGACACATATTTGAGTAGCCTGCTCGCATCATTGAAGAAAATTTTGTTGAACAACCCCCTCATTTTACAAACCGACTTGAATACTTAATGAGCCCCCTGGAATGCCGAAATCTTCACCGAGTAAAAATCGCTATTCGACTATACATAACTCGGCCGCGGGGAGTGGACACGAAAAAGCAAGAACGTCATGTAACGTTAAGAATAGTGTGCTGCCGAGCTGAGGCTCGGCAGCAATAAACTAGGGGTTTACCAGAACCAATTTTTTAAAGTTCCGGCCGGAACCGGATCCGGCCGGAACTGGAAAAAAGTTCCGACCAGACGTTCCAGCCGGAACCTGAAACTGATTTATTAAGCCATATATACTCATATGTTACTTTGTCTGCTGCCAGACTTCAAGCCATTAAGGAGAGAGCCCGCAAATGTTAGAATAAAAATATTGACAAACGTTAAACGTCGTAATGAAGTGTTGTTTAAAGTGCTTATGTCACAAATTTTTTTTGATTTTTGACTAGAGGACAAAAAGTTAGTTAATAGGTTCTTTAACATTTTTCGGTTTTCTCTTTTCATTCGCGAGATAAGCGGCCCCAAACAGCGATTTTCGTGAAAATGTCGCGTATCAACAAGAGTTATTATTATTATTATTATTTAATAATATTTAAAAACGGTAGTCCTTCAGGGCACATAGGCACCTGCTTTTCAAGGAGCCGTTTGCAAACCACTTAAATTAACAATACAAATATAAATTAATTTACAACTATTACACTACCTATATTACTAATTAATATACTAGATTACTAATTACTAATTACAAGAATACATCAGCTGCGGTCAAGAATAGATTTAAATTTACTAAGGCTGTTTTGTTCCTTAGCTAAACTTGGTAAGCTGTTCCATAAGGACGCAGCCGAGTAACTAATACTCTTTTTCATAAAATTTGTTACTGGCTTTCCGAGGGAGAAGTTTATATTGTTACTACACAATTGATACACTTGGTTCTCTTTGATTTTAAACATTTCTATTACTGATTGTGGCATGACGTTATTTTTTATTTTGTGCATAAAAATACATTTGTTTCTCTTTAGTCGTTCACTTAAGGGCTGCCAATTTAGCTCTTTTAAAACATCTTTAGGTCTGGTTTCATATGTTCTGTCCGTAATCACTCTCGCAGCCCTATTTTGTAATTTTTGCAGTTTGTTTAACAGATAATCAGAACAATTATCCCAAACAAGACTGCAATAATCAAAATGTGACAGGACAATAGCATTGTATGAACAAATGTCTTTATTCTCTGAATCATTCCTATACCTTTTGAAGATTTTGAAATAATACTTTGTATTTGGTCGTTCCACGAGAGGTGCTCATCAACAATGATCTCCAAAGTTTTAGATTTGTTGACTCGCTTTATTGTTGAGTCACCAAGTTTGACTATAGAATCTGTTAAAATATTTGAAATGCGTTGTCGTGAGCCAACTATCATGTATTCAGTTTTCTTTTTATTAAGAGTAAGTTTATTCGAAGTTAGCCATTGGTGCACATTTTCTATAGGTCGGTATTTAAGCGTTCTTGTATTTCAGTGTCAGTTTTACGACTTTTACCTTGAGTAGTAGAAATATTTGTGTCATCAGCAAACATACTTGCCGAGGATAATGATAGACAGTTCGGAAGGTCGTTTATATGCCTAAGTTAGAACCTTGTGGTATGCCACAAGGGGCCTAAGTTAGAACCTTGTGGTATGCCACAATTAACCGTTGTTTCATTAGATGTAATTTGATTCACCTTGCAAAATTGTATCCGATTAGTAAGATAGGACTCAAACCAAGCTAGATCACGACCTCTTATTCCATAATAATCCATTTTTGTTGTAAGTATATTATGATCTACACAGTCAAACGCCTTTTTAAGGTCAAGGAAAATAACTCCATTCAAACTCCCCCTATCCATATTTAGCAGCCATTGATTTGTTGTACGAAGGAGAGATGTTTGAGTGGAGTGTTTCCTCCGAAAACCTGCTTGTTGTTCTATGAGTAAACTGTTGGACTCTAAATACGTATTAAGCTGCTCTGAAATTAATTTCTCAAATATTTTTGCAACACATGATAAAACTGAAATTGGTCAACAATTATCACAGATTAATTTGCTATCAGATTTATGTATTGGCGAGATTATAGCAATCTTAAAGTCGTCAGGAAAAATGCCCAAGTTTATTGAAGCATTAAATATCGCTGCTAATGAGGGAGCTATTTCTTCAGCCGCATCTTTGAGAAGTTTTGGCGGAATTCTATCGTGTCCTGCTGATTTTGATGTTTTCATTATGGAAAATAATTTGTAAACTTCTATTTGAGAAACATTTTGTATTGAGAATTCTGTGCTTGTAAAAGTTAAATAGGATTCCGGCGTCCTACCGCTGTTCGGTATTTCGTCAGCTAGTTTGGCCCGACTTCACTAAAATATGTGTTTAATTAAAGCATTTGCAATTTCAGACTTATTAGTTATAACTTGATTACCTTGATGGATTTCAGAGATTACGGTAGTTTTTGAGCTTTTGTTAGTAAGTTTATTAACCGCTTTCCATATTTCTTTAGGATATGATTATTCTCGCATTCGTTCAAGGTATTCATAAAATATTCAGCTTTTGTGTTTTTAATTAACCTATTTAAATCGTTTCGAGTTCTCCTATACGCATCATGAAAGTGTTTCGATCCTGTTTTAATAGCCTTTTTCTTTAAGTAATCTCTTTGGCGCATTACTTGTCTAATGTTGTTTGTTATCCACGGAGCATATTGGCTTCTTACTCTTTTAGTAAAAAATCTTGTTTTCCATTTTTCCCACATTACGTTTGGATCAAGCGTACTGTTCAAAAATATTTCATCGTTTAAATATGTAAAAATATCTGCCTTAAAATTATTGGCATTATACAGGGTGTCCCCCAAAAAACGAAAACCATTGAAATCACTTATTGTTAAAATTGAATGCTCTACCAAAAAGCTGAACGTAATGATGCGTAAAATATTGACAAGGTGCATGTATTAAAATTTAGTTAAGAACATCTCCTTGTAAAGTGTGCGATTTTTCGCTCTTGGGAATTTAAAACAGCTTCTTAATAAACAGTTTCTTTGTGCATAAAATTTACTTATGTCAATCATTTATGCACTCGTGGGAACCAACAGAGTGCTAAGGCATTCAAATTCTAACAATTAAATTGTTATTGCTAATTTCAATAGTTTTCGTTCTTTTGGGACACCCTGTATTGCTTAAATTGCCTAGTTTTGACAATCTTAGGTTCCCCACGGGGAATTGAAATACTTCTTTGGATATAAATCATACTATGGTCGCTGATTCCCAAATGAATGACTCCTGCATGAGCCATTAAATAATTTATAATTCAGGTTTGTTTGTGAAGGCTAAATCGATTAGTGTCTTAGTTGTGCCGTAACTCGAGTTGGCTCTTTAATTAATTGCTCAAATTGAAAGGTATTCATAATTTTGGCAAGTATATTTGTGTGAGCATTGGCTTCATTATTAGCCAGAAGAGACCAATCGCATGCAGTTGAAATCACCAATTAAAATAACTTCCTTATTTTCGGAACCATTTGGGTAATTAAATTCTCGTAGGTATTTAGGCATTCTTGCGAGCTATTCGGTGGTCTATACCAAACTATTAACTATAAATGGTCTGGTTTTCGGCTTCGTAATTTCAAGTGTTAATGTCTCAAGACTTTCATCGGTGAGATCGTCTCTCACTG